CAAGGGGGAGCTGAGCGCTGGGGCGGCCTCGCTCGCAGCGGTTCCCCCGCCGGCCGGCCGGCCACACGCGCCATCTTGCCTCGTCCCGCTCGAGCCCCTCCGCGCGGGCGGCGCGCCGGGAAGGGTGCGGGCGCGGCGGCCCACGCGCGGATGCGGGCGCCCCGAGGGCAGGCCGCCGCGCCGGCGTCACGGACGGGCCGGAAGGCCTCGGGGCCGGGCGAGGCCGCCCCAGCGCTCCGCTCCCCCTTGCAGGGCGTCGCGGGCCCGGCGGCACCTTTCTCGGTCCCTCGCGGCCCCGCCTGGCGCTCAGCGCGGCCGCCCCCGTTTCCGCGCCCCGCATCCAGGCCCGCCGAGCGGTCTTCTCTTCCAGCACATGGAAGAACACGTGGCCAGCATTCGCGCGTGTGACTCGGCCGTACTTGTGTGGCGCTTGCCGGGATACGCACAGCTTTCCTCTCCCCGGCGCTCATCGGCGCGGACCGTCGGCTGAGGTGGCTAGGGCTGATGGGCGTTGTCGTCCACATCATCCGGGCGGTATCAGCCCCAAGGCTGCCTTGTGAGCATCCCGATCTACAGGCCAGTTATATCACCCATCTGCCACAGGACTGTGGAAGGGGCCCCCACAGCGAGGAGCACCGCGTGGGGTCTGTGCGTGTCTCCTGGGAAAACCCCCGCTGAGTTCAAGGAGCTTCCCAAGGACAGGACTGCAGCCCGAGGCCCATCGTTCTGCAGGAGGCCAGGGTCAAAAGGCTTTTAGCGGCGGGATTCTGCTCTAGGCTGACCTGCTGGGAAAGTCCTCCTGAAACCAGGCCTAAGGAGGTGGTGATGCTTAGAATGATGTCTGCTTTGCATTTATACTCCGCCTTTCTTCCTCCTGCAAGGAGCCCAAGGTGGCCTTAGAGGCGCTCCTCCGTATTTATCCTCCTGAAACAACCCCGACGGGTAAGTGAGCTGAGAATCCATGGCTGGCCCAAAGTCACCCGGGAGGGCCGAGTGGGGACTAGACCCCAGATTTGCCGAGTCGGGTGCTCTAACCATTAAGCCACGCTGGGATTCAAGTGAACGGGTTGGCCTGGAGGCTAATACTGAGGTACACAGGACGTATGAGATGAGTTCGGCACCTGACCTGCTCCTTGCCAACTGCTGTTTGAATCAGGTTCTTGGCTGGCAAACTCCCGTACATGCAGAAGCTGCGCAGGAAAAGCTTGCAAACCAGACGGTTTGACCGCGGGCGCCTTTTGGGAAGCATCCCATCCTCAGCTCCTCTGTTCGAGGGTATGTTGCAAGGTTGCAGTCCAGAATAATTCAGAGCACCGGATTACAAAGAAATGAACACTGGGCTTGGCTCACACACTCTCTGAACCCTCCAAGGCTCGTCACTCATCGCAGCGGGCCGCCGAGCCCTTTCCAGCCTTCCTTTTATGAATGCGCGTTGCTGTTTCTCCTGATGTGCAAGGAGTTCCAGGTGGCACAGCCAGCTCTTCCCCCTTGCTCCTCTCGGCAACCCTGCATTTGAACCAGCGTTTGCCCAGCCCCGGTCTAGCCAATACAGCGCAGCGCGGTACTGGAGAGCCTACTGGAAGAAGGGTTCCTTCCCAAGGAGCACCGTGCGTTACTTTGCTTGGCTTGTAGCCACACCGTGGGCCCTTCCCTGGCCAAACATGGCCAATATTGTTGCCCAAGAAGCAGCAGCACCGCACGCAGATGGCGAGCTAGCAAGAGCCCCAGCGCGGAAGAGACCTCCGAGCGAGAAGGACGCGGGCCGCTGGAAGGGGGCGAGCGGCACATTGGCTCCGCCCCTTTAGCCACCACGTGAGCATCGGAAAGTCTCTTTAAACAATAAGCACAGAAAGGGGTGGAAGGCGCCAGCCTTACCCCGGAACTGGGCTCCTTTTAAAGCCACGTGGGTTTCTTCCCGAGCTGACGAGGCTCTGGTCTGGGCACGCGTTTCCCTTCCTCTGGCTCGTGGGGGAGAGCTCCGTTGGGCTTGCTCGCCTGCCGAGCGTGGCAAAGGCGTTGGGATCGAGTCCTCAGCCTCATTCGCGTCCCCGATCCATTGCCCCACGATCGCGGGACGCTCCCACGGGGAAGAAGAGGCGCGCGTCAGGCTGCTGACACAGAAACAAGCGCCACTGCTGCCGGCGGAACATCCTTCCAAGTGGCGAGGTCCCCTGGCACATCGAGAAAGGCCCACGCCTCGCTGAGCGACGCCGCCGGTTGAGCTACGCCGATTTCTTTGGGAGGCAGCCTACGCACGGGTGGGAAGCAAGCACTGTTCCAGTTATGGGGAGACAGCTGTGGGGGGAGGCCCTTTAAAGATATTCGCAAGCCCTTCTCCCAGAGTCCTTCCACTTTTAGCTCAGCGTTTCCCACCCCACCGCCTAACTTCACCCGTATAAAAACAGTTGCTGAGGGGGGCATAACAAAGGGTCCCGGGCTGAGCCCTCGCGGCCCTCCCCCCACCGCGTGAATCTCCAGCACTGAAAAACTCGGGTCAAGCACTTTTAGCGCACAATCCTATGTGGGTTTAGACAGAAAAGAAATCGAGCTGAGGAATGCTCGCAGCTGTGGAGCGTTTTTCTGTTCTGTCTGATCATACATAGGATTGCTCTACAGGCTGTGTCAATGCAGCTTACTTTATACTGGGCCCAGTTAGCGGGCGTTTTCCACTCCAGATAGCCACTCCTCAAGCCAAGGAACATTCACAGGACTTCTCCAGAATAAGCAGTGTCAGGATCTGAGGATATCTGAAGAACTGTTTCAGTGACCCAACTGACTTATTTCAAAAGTTGCTTTCAATACACACATTTCATAGATCGTTTCTGCCTATTAAATTTTGGAACAAAACTGTTCAGGGTCGTACATAAACCTATACACCTTTTTTGAGGGGGTTAGCACTGGTTCAGTTGTAGAGTTTGTATAAGGCTATTTTTCTTGTCTCTTTTGTATTTCTTTGTATTTGTTTTTTAGAATCCATATCCATCACTGCGGCTATGTTATAATGTATTTATTTATTTTTAAAAACATCTGGCGTGACTGTTCCAAAAATTGTCTTAATGAGGGGACAGGGGGAGCCCGACACACCAGATCTTCACTGGGGCTGCTCCGAATGCAGCTCCTCTCTGCAGGTCTGCAGCCGCTCTGCATTTGCCGAGCAGCGCCAGTGGCAGGGAGATGGGAGATGCTGCCGACCACACACATCGCCACGTGTCTGCTTTGTTTCCCGGGCAGACTTTTTACAAAGCAACCAAGTCGGAATACTCCACTAGAAGCCGGCTTGAGGCTGAAATCCAAGCGTGTTTCCTGCCAAGCAAGCAAGCGCACCCCCCCCTCCCCCGCTTCGATCAGTAAGCCTGGCTCCTGGGCTTACTTGGAGGTAAATTACTTTCAAATCCAAGGACGGCTTCTTCTGGGATGCTTTCCTGTGTGCCATGAAGGGCAGTTGCTGGAAGAGGGCCACTAGGGCTGCAACCCCAACGCTTTTATTTGGCGCCCCGAATCTCTGGCAGGCCATCTGGCCCACCCCCCTTCTAGCCAGAGCTGCAAGAAGGGTGCAGGAGCCTTGATGGTCTGCATTCGTCTGATCCCCCTGGATTAGATGGATTTTTACTTGCATTTGCATCCTGCTGCCCCTCCTTTGAATCATTTTGTCTGCTTTCCTTTCTTGAAATCAAACATCCACTTCTGTCTTGTCCCTTATTACAAGCAGGGGTGTCCTTTACAAGACAAGATCCTTCACAGACTTTACAGTATGTAAAATAGCATAAAGATATTAATTTATTATGATGATTTTGGGTGGGCCCGACTCTTGCATCTTTTGGGTACCTAGCAGCTGCTCCATCTTAAAGCTTGGTTCATTGCCAGGGCCGACCATGAAAGAATTATATCTCAAAAAGCAAAGACTGTACTGGCAGTACCCCATTATTGCTTCATGAGGGCCTAAGACAGGCAGTGTGCCCCCTTCAGCAAGTGCTTATTCCTGCCATCATTTGAGTCCAAAATACAGCAAAAGCAAAGGGGGCAGGCATCCTCATTTTTGCATGAGAAACTCGGTCCACCCACTTCCAGCAGAGCATATGAAAGGGGCTGCATCAGGTGGGAACCATTTCAGATGACTTCTGATGTGCTTCTCTTGTGCCACCAAAGAACTGCAGGCCTAGGCACACTTGCCCAAGAGTGAGTCCCATTGAATTCTGTGGGCTTTAAGTCAGAATAAACAAGGGGCAGTTCTAAGGGATACTTCCTTGGAAATGTATTGCAGCCAAGCCAAGGACAAGGATGCAGAACCCTGTGGTCCCTTAATGATTCAGCTGAAGAACTCCAAACAAGCTTAAGCCCAAATCAGTGTGTTGGGGTATAATCCTATGCATACATAGACAGAAAAGTCTTACAATTCCTAGCATTCCCCAGCCAGACATGCACTGGATTGTCCCCATGGATCTTAAGTTTGTAAGTGCCAATGGACCTTATTTC